AAAACGTTTTGCCAATCATAAGCAATCTTTTAAAAATAAAAAGTATTCAAAAGACATCATGCTGTCAAAATATATATGGGAACTAAAAGATAAAAATATTGATGATTTTATACTGAATTGGTCCATCCTTAAAACAGCGCCTGCATACAACAATATTTCCAAAAAATACATACTATGTCTACAAGAAAAATTTGAAATAATTACACATGCAAAAGAAGAATGTTAGTTAAACAAAAAATCGGAATTGATTTCTAAATGCAGGCACGAAAATAAGTTCCTCCTAAAAAACTATAAAAATAAGTGAGCTCAAATAATAAATCCCCCCCCCCCCCTCCTTTTTAAAAATATTTTTTAAAAAAAAACCATAAGTAATCCTTTCTAAAGAACTCTTTTTATAATAGTGTCAACAAATTCCACAAATGTGTGAAAATTTACAGTAGTTAAAACATTTGCGACTTCCTGTAATTTAATTTTTTGGTATAAATTGAAGTTTTATTAATTTGATCATTCATTTCATGATGAGTCTTTGTTGAGGAAACACAGGGTAAAATGAAAAATTTTTTTTGCTCTGTTCTTTTAAGAACATTGGGCACTCTATTTTGTAGAATACATTTTTAAAATTGTTTAAATATATATATGTATATAAATGACGAGGATATAACAAGGTGAACTTCATTTATGGGAGTAGATATCCACACACACATATGTAAATGCACCAGATTTTCAACTGTTAATCACAGCATCAAAGTGAATTCCAGTTGAGTTGTCTAGAAATAAAGAATAATCAACTTATTAAGCCGTAAACTGCATGGGTGTCATCCATTTTGTTTTCGCTCCATATTTCCTGTATGCTTGGATATCTACCTCCATAAATATAGCACATCCAAATATCTCAATCATCTTCAAGCATTTTAGTTTTACAAATATACATTCGAATTGGTATAATCAAATATCCAGTTATTTCATCTTGTATTTTGTTACACATATGGTTAACAACTTTGCTTCTAATTGGCTCCTGTTGATCTTCATTTCCAGTTATGATATTAGCGCTAAAAAAGCAGTTTCTTAATTCTATGGATTCCCCTAGGACAAAGAGTTAGGTTAAGGTGGTCCACCCCAATTAAAAACGTAATTTTTACATTTTTTTGAGTTTTTTTTTTAAGTGATTTTTTTAAATTTCAGACATTGTAGAACATAATTAGAGCACTTTTATTAGTTAAATTTATATATTAGTAGGTCTAATTTATCTTTTTAATAGGATAGATAGATTTTAGTTACCTAACAACGCCCTTAGCAACCGTTTTTTAAAGATAGTTTTATAAATAGCACCTCAGGAATCAATGAATATATATAAAAAAATTAAACTTTAGGTCCTACATGGGTTTTTGTTAACTTTGGCTATATTTTAAAAGCCTATCACCCTTTTGCAATCATTATAAAGTGAAAACAGCATGACATACATTTGTATGAAAGCAGTACATACATTTAGAGTTTAATTTTAAATAGAAGTAAAAATTTTAAGTTCTTTCACAAAAATGCCAAGATCTACTTAATATATTAAAAGAAGATTTCGAGGTAACCAACATGTTAAGAATAAAAGCCTTGATAGTGTTAACATATTAAAAGAAGAGTATTTCGAGGTAACCAACATGTTAAGAATAAAAGCCTTGATAGTGTTAACCAAAACTTTGTTGAAAAAAAAAATGAAGTGCAAGAGAAAAAAAGTTGCAACAAAATATTGAGTTTAACGAGCTTGACGAGGATAACTACAATATTATAATAAGTTTTAAAGTTTTAAAAACAATGTTTAATGATTGTATATGTAAAGAGTGTTGTTCGAATGAAGCAAAGCTGTTACTAAAGAACAATTTACAAAATAAAACTGGGTTCTCATACGAGTTACAGTTACCGTGTGATACATGTAAATTTATTTCAAATTATAATACATCTTTTCAATGTTATAATCAAATCTTAACCTCTCCTGGAAAACCTGTTGCAGCTTTAAACTTTGATGCCATTGTAGCTTTTAGAGAACTTGGCAAAGGTTATCAATCTTTGCGTACTTTTGCAGCATTCATGAATATCCCAAAAACTTTAACTATTTGACTAACAAATTATACAAAGCATGAGACTGTTGCTATTCAAAGTACTACTAAAGCTGCATGTCAAACCAGAATGGCTCTTTGTGCTGATCATAATTAACCTATAAATTGCTAGGCATCTGTTGATGGTACATTGCAAAAGCGTGGGCATCAATCACTAAATGGTATTGTAACCATAATTTCAAAAGAGAATGGAAAGTGCTTACATGCCATTGTTCTTTCAAAAAAATGCAGAGGTTGTTTTTACTGGAAATCTAAAACCCTTAAGCCTGGATATCTTCATTGGAAGATAAATCATGTACGTGATGCTAATCATGAAAAATCATCTAAAGCGATGGAATCCTGTGGGGCTGTGATATTATTTTCTCGATTGTTAATAAAAAATAATTTAAGGTACACTTTATATATTGGGGATGGTGATACCTCTTCATTTTCTGATGTTGTTTCTTTAAAACCTAATGGCGATATAAATATTGAGAAGCTAGAATGTGTTGGTCACGTTCAAAAACGAATGGGAACTCGTCTTTGTAACTTGTGCCAAAGTCAATAAGGCAAAAAGTTTATTGATATTAAGCTTGGATATATATGTTGGTGAAAGGTCTTTAGAATTATCTTTAAATTCAGCTATTATTTTGTTCAATAATGGTTTTCAAGCAGTTTTAAAAGTGTTTGAAGTTTTAGATGTTAATACTGGGCGGTTTTTGAATGATGCTTCTAAATTACACGATGCATTACGCGTATCAAGAGGAAATCATAAATCCACCAATAAATGTAAAATTAGAAGACAAAGATGGAGAGGAATTAAGAAAGGGTTCTTGGATACAGAAGCAGAAGAAGAACCTGTGCCATTTTATGAATCTGGAGCTTTTTAAATAAAATTTTATTTTTGTTTTGTGATTTTCTCCATATTAGCTTTTTAGCGAACTAAATAAAGTTAAAAAAAGATATCTCCTGATTGATTTATTCTTTTTCTTTGAAATTTTCCCAGTTTGTTTAAAAAAAATTGGAAGAGGATTGGTAGCAGAATATTTAATTTTGCTTTTTTTTTAAGTTTGTTTTTTTGTCATCCAACAGTGAGGCCTTTGCATTAAAAAAAGGAACCATTATGGCAATGCCTGTAAATTTTTAAATATTCCAGTTAAATAGATAAAACTGCTAGGGTACCTGAGTAAACATATTATTAGCTGAAATACCAAAAGGCATTAAAAAAGGTTATTTACTTCCTGAGAAATCTTTTTTTTAAATAACACACTAAAACAGGTTAAAAGTTGAATAAATGAGGCAAATTATAGGATTTTTTTTTTTTTAAATACTATTTTTTATTACAATACAACATAATTAGACTAATTTGAAAATTATAAACTCATTATTAAAGAAAATCATTTGAATTGGGGTGGACCACCTTAATGTTTCCTACGGCAATATTGTGTTTCCTAACAATACCAAGCTTTTCATTTATTTATTTTCTCATATCAAAAAAAGCGTTTTCTCATATCAAAAGCACATTTTGCTATTCTTTTATTTGAAACAGTTAAGGCGAGTTTCCACTCATCCGTTTTTCTACGGGAACGGGATAAGAAAGGAAAAAATAATCACGTGAGCATGCGTAATAAAAGTTTTTATTTGTCCGAAAGAAAACAGCGCATGCTCACGTGATTATTTTTCCGTTCTCTTTCCTTTTCCCGTAGAAAAACGGATGAGTGGAAACTCACCTTTACATTGCTTTGATGTTGAGTATTATTGTACGTGTTGTTTGATTCGACGTCTTTGTAAATTGATCCAGTTTTAAAACTATCATCATTATTTGATGATTTTAAAGATATAAATGCTACTGCATTAATATATTACAAAGGTTTCAATATTTTTGTTTAAATAATCGCTTCTTTATTGCTTTTCAAGAAACCGCAGTAATTAAAACGTTTAAAAATATTCACAAAATACAAAAGGGTTGCAAAAAAAATTTTTGCCGCAAAATATTTTATGGGAGTAAAAATCTCATAATGGCAGTAAATATTTAATATGAGATTTTTACTGGGGAGTAAAAACAACGCGGAAGTAAAAGTCTCATACTACATCGGGGTTACTTTGAAAAGATTCAAGGTTACTTTGAAAAGTAACCTTGAATACAAATCTTTTCTTTTTTTTTCAAGTTGTAATTATGACAAGAATTTATATGAAACTGTTCAAACCTTAGACATATAAGTATTAAAAGTAGTTTATAATTCGATTATTTAAATGTTTACTTTGTTTATTGGTTGTTATTGTTCATTAAAAAATGAATTAAATATTTCAGATATTTTTTATCAAAAAAAATTAGTTAAAATACTTTGCACACTGCCTCAGCTCGTGTAGCAGCTTGTTATATATATATATATATATATATATATATATATATATATATATATATATATATATATATATATATATATATATATATATATATATATATATATATATATGTATAAATTTAATAAGCTCATTAAAAAAACAAAAAAAAAAAACATTCTAATCATATATTTGTTAAATTCCTTTGACTTTTGTATCCCCCAAAAAGACATATCTGGCAAAAACGACGTAATCTGTCTTAAATGACGTAATATCTGCCTTAAGTGTAATAATAGGATTTTATAATATCGTGACACAGGTCCTGTGATGTCTGTGGTATAGAATGTCTTTTTGGGGATATTTTTTCATATGAAATATCGGAGTGTTCCATAAATGTATACTGTTAAAAGTTGTGCGCATTTTCAAAAAATAATTGCTAATATAATATACCAAATTTATAAATTTTATTAATACAGTATCGAGTATCGAATATTTAACAAGACATTTTTGATTAAATTGAATTACTCCAAATATATACCGAAACTTGTTAAAAACTAAAAATATCTTTGATCATATATTAACTTCAATAATTATTTAAATAATTTAAAATAATTTGCTATACAATAATTTGCTATACAACTTTATTAATAAATTACAATACAAATAATATAATATATAATATAAAAAGTCATTATATTACAGGAATATATACCAGAATTTCATTACAAATTTAAGTCCAGACTTCATTTTCGTTAATATTACATGTACAGTGAAAGTTCAATCAACAGTTTTGTATTCGACTAAATAAGAGTACATTATAATATTCCCAGGATTTATTTTTGGGTTTGGATCCGTTCCGTTAAACAGTCCAAAATAGCGTATGTTATTTGTTTCACCTAATCGAACTTGAGATGTTATATCTTCCACCCACGGGCTGACATTTTCCCCATCACACCAACCATCCCGCCCGTATAACCAAGTACCATGCTCGTTAGGCTCTGAACCATCAGATACTCTATCAGCACAGCCTGTTGCAGTACCAGCAGTATCAAAAATGCGTGTATTTTTGTGTCTGTTATTCACTAAAAAGTGGTGCGAGGTAACGCAAAACTCAGCGCAATTATTATTATCGCTTCCATGACCAGTAATGACCGCATATATTTTGACTTTAGTAGTTAGAGGTGATATAGTAAAATTCATTGCACGTTTTCCTCTTTTGCTATAACTGCTATCAAATCGACCTCCTCGAAACAACGGTGTTATTTTAAATGGAGATTCAGTTGGACCTAATTTAAAATATTATTAAAAATGATATGTTAAAAATAAGTTACGATTTTAGGTTAACTGTTTATTTTTTATTATTTGCAAATACATTTCAAAACAATAATAATAATAATAACGGGGAAAAAAAAATTTACAATTAAATATATTACCCAAAACTGCGAAAAATATTTAGTAAGTAAATAAATATACAATTCAATTACTCTTTTCATGTTAGTTTAGTTTTGATTTCACATATTAAATAGAAATAATATAATAGAAAAACCTTTAATTTTATCAGCCAGCCTGATAGTTAAAGATGGTTTCCAAGGCATTGCCCATGGGACAGTCTTCATAGTAAAGGTGCACTTCTCTGAATTAAAAAGTGGTATTAGCGGGCGAATATTTGTCAACCATCTTCCGATACGCCTGAATATTAAAAACTCTTTTTTAAACTTTTTTTTAATTTATTAGAAACTATTTTAAATAAATTATTCTTTATAGAAATCAATTAAATCAACTATTCTTTACAGAAAAAAAAGTTTTTTTATAAAAATTATTTTGTATTTACCAGCAAAGACTCTGTGAAAATTTGGAGATTTTTCGGAATTCATAAATCTGGACACTTTTAAATCTCAAAAATGTTTACTTGCATTCTTTTCTATTCTACTGTAATGCAAAACAATTTTCAATTGTTTTTGTGTGTATATTTGAAAATATGAAAAAACTTTCGAAATAATAGCTCTAAATTTTACTAAATAATTAGAAAAAAAAAATCCTGTCAAGTACTTAGCTGTCATTAACGTTATCTGTCAACAGATATACATTTTTTGATGAAAGCAAAACAAAACAATCATGAATGGTCAACATTTTCATCAACAATCAAGAATGGTCAACATTTTCTCAATTCCTAAAAATCATTACTTCTGCCATTTCTTTTCCAGAAGCATGGAAATGAATGAAAAAGGAAAAGAAAGACTCATTTCACAATTAATACTAAAGCAAATATAAATTCCAAACATTTCATGTAAGCATCTATCTATATTCAGCAACTTTAAACCTTTTTCTGATAATGGGTCTTCTAAAAACCTATCCCATTCTAGTCAAATCTGCTTGTTTCTATACCTTACATCTACCTTCTTTAACCAACTTACTGACATTGATTTTCCAAACGTTGGTTCCAGATAAAAAGTAGATAAGTTTATTATTTATTAACTAAATCTTTTGTATTTGATTAAAAACGCTTAAAGCAAGAAACTATTTTTAAAAACTTATTAAATATTTTTTTCAAAAAAATATTTAAATTTACATAGTAATATAAATATACCTGGTGGGAAATCGGCTGGCAAATAGCTAGCTATAATCGTAACGATAAAGACAGCAATTTGGCCACGAGGAAGCCAGGTTTTTAAAGTTAGCAAAAAGCTATTGATGTTTGTAAAGATAAAGACAGCAATTCAGTTACGAGGACAGCTAGCCTAATAAACTAAAGACCCACTGGCTATTGTAGCTAATTATCTGTTGCTAATGTATCTAATCGCTAAGCTAAAGACCCATTGGCTATTGTAGCTAATTATTGTAGCTAATATATCTAATCGCTGTCTAAAAAATTTTGATATGTAGTTATCAACCAGTTATAGATTTGTAGATATTTTGTAGCTAGCAACAAAGCTATGATGTAGCTAGCAACACATTACTACAAAATCGCAATATTTAAAATTCAACTATTCTCATAATTATAATAGA